GGGAGCATGGAGAGGGAAAGGAGAGGCCGGGGCCAGGGGGGGACCGCTGGCGATCGTCTGCCGGCCGGCGAGGAAGCGCGGGACGGCGCGGAGGACCCCTCATCGCAAGGTGTCGCGCGATCCCGCGCCTAAGCGGTGTTTTGGCCCGGTGCCGTACTGCCCGCAATTTTCGCAAGCCAACAAAGTTGTGCAACAGCTCGCGCGCCCAACCTCCAGTGCATTGTCTCCGCGCCAGCCGTACTGCCCACAGCAGCGACGTCCGACCCGTTTGGCGCGCTAGGCGAGCATCGCCAACGCTAAGCCACCCCTTCCCCCTCCCGATTTCGCACCGTTCTTTCTCTGGACTCCCGCCACATCTCCCTCAAGGTGGCGAAAGTGCGGGGCTATGCCTCGTCATCCTGTCTTGTAACAACTTTTGCACATCCAGATTCCCCCCCTTCTGACGCTGCGCTGCCCCGCCCCAGGGCTACCCCCCGGCGCTGCCGCAACCCCAGAAGCGGACCGGCCCAACGCGATTGGCGAACCCAGCGGCGTCGATTCGTCAGACATCCCCTCCTGCTCGTCCGGCTTGGCGGCCAGATCGGCGCCACGGAGCGAGAGCAGAGGGAATTTGCAGGCGCCCAGGGAGGACCCGGCGGGCAGCACCGGGGACTCTGAGGCTGCGGGATCGGAGGGAGAGCACCCAGGGGCGGCCTCAGATGAGGAAGGCTCCTCCGGAGACTCTGGACTGGTGAGGGCGGGATGTTTTGCGCTGTTTTTGGTTCAAAATGTCGCATCACGTTTGGAAGTCCGGGCGCCACCCGCGCTCAGGCTGTTGATGCTCATCGGAGTGGAATGGGGCTGAATGCTGTGGGAGGTTCTTGCCTCTGTCCCGCGCGTGTACTCCATGATGTGTCTCTTTGCTCGACTTGGGGGCTTGCAATATGAAACCCGGACACGGACGCGTGGCCCAGACCGCATTTGCCCTTGGGTGTGATGTTGGATGTTGGGTCGCCTCCGTGACGGGAGGGAAACCAGGCTGTGCTTTGGGCTTGGCCCTCCACTGAATTCTTTGTGGCTCTTCCGCATCGTGCAAGATTATGTGCAAGCCACTGGCCAAGATTTTTGCAAGTCAGAATAATTGGGCATGACTGCCACTGTCTCCTCCACCTTTACGGAGATTTAGCAGGACCCCCTGGACAGGACAAGACGAGCATGAGAGAACATCAGGTGTCGAGTCATGGTGTGAACATGGGCAGTAACACAGAGTGGTGTCGAGAAGAAGAAAAGTTGCACACTGTGAGGCTCAAAATCTTGCGCCGAATTTCGCGAGGCACTGACCAGGGGGATTCGTGGTCGATGGGGTTTGGGTCGCGCATTGGAAGTATGACAGCAGATGCAATGTGTGGTTAGTGCCAACAAGAAACCTCGTTATTCATGGGGCTGGGGGCTGGGTGGCGTTGGGTGGTTGGGCAGCGAAGACACTGGACCACTGGACCACTTCTTGCCTTTCGGTCAGCCGATGGTGTGTCAGAAACTGGTGACACCATCGTCTTCCTGCCAACCCACCACCAAGACCATCTTGTGCTGCAAGGCACACCCTCTTGCCAAAACTAAAAGCATGGGAAACACAAAAGGCATGGCTGTTTCACTGAGTGGGAAATCTGGGAGAACATAGAAGTAGTCCATGCTGTCGCTCAAGTGCAGAAGGAAACCTTCCTGCACACGTATAAACTGTCATGTGCATATGTATTTGTGCATGCATATCCATATGAATTGATTAATGTGAGCATTATTCACTTGAGGACTGAGATCCTACATTTGTGGGTTCCATTCTGTTTCCATACCCTTGCCCGCTGAACGTTGCTCACCACTGCTGCTGCTCACCAGCACACCAACAAAATGGGGTTCTGCTTTGTTAAGCAAGTGGTTATGTGTGTGGACGTTTATTGGACACCCATTGGATTTCGACACTGTCCCACCTTGCCCAGGGTGCTGACAGTGGGAACAGTGGCAGCGGACAGTGGGAGCTGATAGATGTGGAAGGGGTGGACTGGGGTCTTGGAGATGATGCCCTGGAGGTTCTAGGCTTGCATGGATTGGTGGATGGCGATGATTTGGATGATGACGAAGATGGAGATTATGAAGGAGAGGAATTGGCTGCGGTAGGGATTCACTGCTGGCTGAATTCCAGCAACAAATGAAATGCAATGCTGTGCTTGTACGTGATTGTGTTGTGTGGAGGATCAGATCAATTTAAACATGGTTTAAAAAATAAGACCACAGGACACCACCATCCGGTCCACTACCCAAAGAAGAATGTGTGTTAAAGAGCGGCAGAAGTTTCCAGAAGAAGAATCAAAGAACAAAGTACCAAAAGCGAACGATTTGTCATTGTGTCACAGTTTGATGCACTGTCCTGCCACACATCGTACTGTTGTCATATTCCTTGTATTGCAACCTACAGAACTGTTGTACTGCACGTTTGTCCAGCACTCTGCTTTGCTGACATCGCTGAGGCAGGAGAGATCGAGGAACGTCTGAAGCAAACCCTGTGCTTGGAATTTGCCTTTCAAGGGTGCCGGCCATCGCATCGCAAGTGCAAGTGCCTACTTGGCTATTTTTGACCGATGTGACATTTTTGCCTCCTGCGGTGATGGCATGCCAACAGATAAGAGCAGTGCCGAGCTCTTGATTGTTTCACTTGTTTTGGCACCATTTTCCATTGATTTCTTCGTTCTTAACGCTGTGTGCAAATTCATAGAGCCGTGGAAGCCGCTGCATGGCTTGGTATCGCCTGGTGTGTGCAAGGGCGGTGCTTTGACCTGCTCAGTAGCCTGCAACTGTGACGGCGCAGCGCTTTGCTGAAAGACCCCAGCTGTTCAATGTGGTCTGAGTCTGACTCTGCCACGTCCCCTGTCCAGCGTCCACTCCTTCAACAGAAAGGCTGTTCCCCAAGCACAGCGTTCTTTGGAAGTTCTGCAACAGAATAAATGTGCCAGTTGTTTGCCGTGTCGCAGCAATGGCTGAGGATTAGCGTTGCAAACAGGATGCAGGAGACAGCATCCACAGCGGGGAGGAGAGCACCGATGATGGCACCATTGTGGGAGACGGAGAGTTGCACTGTACGGGCCCTGGGTACCTTCTGCCACAATACCGGGCCTACCCGGCAACCTCCAGTTCAAACCACCATCAGGTAGAATTGAGCTGGATTCAGCCCAATTGGATAGAATCTGGGTTGCTTTCGAATGGCGTACAACTCCCTTAGTTAGTGCATTCAAAGGACTAAGACTTGATGATGATGCATTGCATTTGCATCCAGCAGGCAATCCCAGGTGCTGTTCACTGGCTGGGTTGCTTACGGTTGATGATTTTATGAATTTGACTGGATGATAGGGTGGACTTGGGTTGGAAATTGACATTCATATTATTTTGATGGCATGGGGTAGAAGGATTTTACTGGGTTGCATGGAATAGAGAGTACTTGCATTCCACTTAGAGTCAAGCAGAAATTAGGAAAGATGCATCCATTTTACTCCATGCAACAAACAGAACGACTGGTCCGCGAAAAGCCAACTGCGAGTGCGTTTGTGAATGGCTGACTGCATTTGCACCAGGTGTCGGATGCGCTGTGCTGCAAGGGTGGATGCTGCCGCCAGGAGGGTGGTGAGGAGGTTGTTATGTACACCCACGGCAGGATGAGGGTGGCAAGGCTGCCTGAAAAGTCAGGCCAGGTGGGTCTGGAGGCCTGACCTGTCAAGGGAATACCCTTGTCTGTGTGCAGCAGCCAACAGCATCAACAACAGTGAACATACATAACACAGCTGAACAGCAATCCGTTCAATGCTGGAAGTTGGCTGGGAAGGATTTGGCTTTTGGCGCTTTGTTGAAATTCTCTTGTGTCATCTGGCGATGATATTGTATCCCCCTCTATGGGATCTTCACTTGTCATTCGCCCTGCAACACTGCCCTTCCCATCCACCTGATTGCCCACATCAAAGCTCATTGTGCACCTTGCCTATTTTCACAATGTGCTGCAATTCAGAGACAGTGTTTGCCATACAACTTTTGGCATAAAATACACCGGTAAATGATTAGTAGTGACTGCTCGTTGCCAACTGCGCTCTTAGAATGGACGAAAAGGTGGTTGTGCTGTCGAAGCTCTGGGTTTGTACTAGCACGACAACTGCATGTTGAAAATATAATCGGATAGTTAACTTGTTCCGCAAGTGTTCACACAGTTATTCTGTGGTCTTTACAAAGTTGCAGTTGTTGACTCGCAATAGTGCAGCATCAACAATATAGTGATAACGAAGTGTGTTTTGTTGAAAGCACTAGAACCAAACAACATATCTCACTGCCAGAATTACTGGCAATTGTGACTCATGCTGCTGACTGATTGAGTTCAGATGTTCTTGGGAAGTGAGAACTCATCTCCTTTTGGAACATATGCTCCCGTTGAGCTCACAATGCTTGAAGCAAACGAAGTTCAGGAGATGCCACTAAAAATATACCATGGCAAGACGAGGGTATGACATTTAGTCCCCTCACCCGTCCTCCTGAGTTCGATTTATAAGAAGTTGTACAAGAAGTTCCATAAGACTGGTGGGATACTATGTCACATTCTAGAAGAATGTGCCAACTGCACTGCCCGTCCTTGCATTGTGCTCAGAGCAGCATAAACTCTCGAGTCGATCATTGCCCATCGGCACGCGGAGCAGAACAACACAGGGAATGGTATAAGATGTTGTGCAAGTGTTTGAGCAGAACAGAAATAGGGTGCTGGGAGCAGTGGGAATATCAGGAAAACCTGAAGTCATGCAGAAATCCGCATGATTTGCATTGTGTTTCTGTCATGAAGTACCTAACCTATTGTAGTGGCAAAACTTCCATCGTGCCGGCAGCAGCAATAATGATGCTACTACTATTTTCAGTTGCAGCAATGGTGCCTTGAGTGAGCTTAGAAACGTTGGGGATGCAGGACCTTCAGACACTTGCGGAGGTGGACCTGGAGACCAGGCCGCATTCGGTGGACAGGACCCCAGATGGCAGATCGATCGCTGTTGGTAAGCATCCAAAAGGGGGTGGCACAAGCAACCAGAGTTGCATGCTTCCAAGTGTGTGCCTGCAGTGGTTGAAACTTGTGACTGTAAGTGTAGTTGAATTACTGCTGCTTAACGATTATCTTGAATGTGATTGGTTGGATAATTTATGTGTATAATTGAATAACAACTGTTGTACTACAAGATACGTGCTTTGGCGTGCTGCTGCTGCCTGGGTTTGTTCAACCCTTATTCAGTGGTGAATTTGCTAATTATTGGGTAAAGTTTGCAGTTTGCCATAGTGTTTTCTGCATTTTGATGCCGGCAGATAACTTGCTACTTGCAGTAACTGAGAAGTTAGTGAATGCCACGGAACACAGCTTCAGAATGTCACAGCACGAATCCAAGCCCTTGCATGTTGCAGACCAGGACATGCATGGCAGCACCTGACAGATGCCATTCGATCCCATGAACCCAGCTTTGCATACAAGAGGGTGGTGTGTGGTGTGTGCTTTGGGGTAGTTGCATTATCAAAATACAAGACAAAGTGTGGCTCCTGTACATACCGCGAGATGTTGTCCACAACGACAGAAAGTGTTCCCAACAGATTTCTGCCCATGTGCCAACTGGATGCCTTGAAGAACTGCCAGTGCCCAGAAAGAGAAACAGGAAAGGAGATCCTGATAGTTTGAGCGGAAAAGTTGATGGCCTCGATCTTCAAAGCATTTTGACGAACACTAGATTAGTGTGGTGCGGGTTACGCTGCCTGATTCCCATTGTGCCTGGTGTCTTTTATTGATTGACTGAGAGCTGCTGCCACTCTTGCTTCCACCGGAGCTGCCGTGAGGCAAATACCCAAGGATCCTGAGCCACAGGGTGCCAAAGTACAACAGGCATGAGATACTGAGCACTAATGGTAGTAGAGTGCTAAAATCACAAATGTATGTGGTGAGGATTCTAAAGGACTTGAAGGCAGCTGCTTTGACAGCAGCAAAGACAATGGTGATGATGCGCAGAGCTGAACTGCAAGAATGGCATTCCATATGTTCCTGTACAAGGGAAGATGATAATCCAGTCTTATTCACAACAGCCTTCCCTTGCCATCGCATATTCGTAAATGTGTTTGTAACTCGGTATTAAATAGTTCGTATTAAGGGTTGTCTCCATGTCCCACAGGAGGCCAAAGTGGTATCATCACCATCTTTGACGTTGAAGATGACAAGAAAGCCAGCTCATCATCCCCTGACGAAATTTCACGGGTTTTGGACCCCAGGGTCCAAAACTCGGGGCTCGTGCTGCGGCACAAGGCAGTGTTCATGTTGAATCCTGGCAACATGGTCAACAGTCTGCGTTACGGAATTGTGGCGGGCAGGCAGCGCCTGGTGGCAGCCACACAGGTGAGAGACTTATGCGATTTTCGGATCTTAGGTTGTCAGGACTCGTAGTGATCTTTTGGCCCAGCGTTTCCTCAATCGTTGCATCACAGGACACTGTGCTGCGTGAAGTGTGTGTCATGCTAACCAGCAATGTGCTAAAAGTGGCACACTGCACAGCCCATTGGGGGAAGTTGTTGATTTGAAATGTAACACTCTCTGGCGGTTGGTGCTTAAACCTCAGTACCACGATGTTGACCCAGAACATTAGTATTAATACTGGACAAGATACAAATTGTGTGTAATTTCATAGTTGAAATAAATGCTTTAATGCTTGTGGCAATCGTGTTGGCTGTGGATAGGGGAGTGACGCCCGATGTCCAAGCATATTGCACACTATCATATGCAGTGCATGGGTCCCGTAGTACATGGAGGATAGTGCGGGGGCCTTTAGACAACCTCCCGACGTTATCGATGCTGGCTGTGTTCTGGAGAGCGGGGGCGGACACTAGATATCGCAGGGGGGGGGTGGGGGTTTGACCCTTTGATACAGCTGCCAAACCCTCTGTCTTGAACACATGGTATTGGTACTTCAGGTGGTATAAATTCGCACATGGTATGCAGTCCATGGAATAGAAAATTGTGCTTTGTATTTTAAATACGATTCTAGTGTATGCTGCCAAGGGGGAAGGGTGTACCAGCCGTGCCTAGTGCTTGCAGTGGTGGGTCTTGTTTGGGTCGTGCCTGCACACCCCTGACCAAATGTGCTAAATCCAAAGCACCGACATGGTGCACAGTACATCTTTCTGAAAATAATGCAGCGCATTTCTAAACGCAGCTCCAGCTTGTGTTCCGTGGGCCATGAGCCAGCGGTGCCCAACAGCCGTGCGTAACCTGTGTACCAATGTAATAATAATTTTGATGGTTGTAATCATTATAACCAGCTGTGCACCAGTGGTGGCTGCTCATCGGGCCTGGTTGTGCTAGGATGGCCACGTCCTGCTGTTTGAGGACGGGTCCACAGGCAATAAAAGGCCCTTCCTGTGCACCTCCCCCTTTGGGTGTGACTACACTGCCGAGGTCACCGAAGTCTCCATGATGGGCCTGGTGGCAGGAGATGACGTTGCCAGCCAGGACTTGCGCACGGCTGCCCTGGGCCCCTTCCCTCATGCCGTGAACTTTGCTGTGCCCTCCCCTGATGGCAGCTTGCTGGCGCTGTGCATGGACGCCAAGGAGCTGTACCTCCTGGCGGCAAAGGACTGGTGAGGGGGTGGGGAAAGAGTCACGGAGTGCTGGGATGAGTAATGCTTGCGGGGATGATTCGCTAGGTGAATCGGCAGGTGTTTGTGTGGATGGGGTGGTCGAGTGGTGAAGATGTTGCAATGGCTGCATGGTTTACTGAAGGTGTGTTGGCAGGTTTGAATGATTCATTTGTAATGCATGTAAAGCACATGGTGCAAACGTACACACTACCTAATATGTGTACAAAGTCTGTTGTTTGATAAATGGATGTGCATTCAACAACAGTTACATGGCATATGAATGCTAAAGCATGGCTCAAATGTGAACATGTGTCTGTATGCTGTTGCATTCAGTGTGTGCTCGATTGGGCAAGTCGAATGCAAGTGCCTTCCTAGTGACCATGGTATTGTTCTGCTACAAACATTGCCAATCCATGTTCTTGTACAGCGCTCCCTGTGGAATCTTGGCCTGAACTGTGTGGAGTTTGAGTGGGGCTGAACTTCCATCCATGTGTCGCAGGTACTCTGTGAAGCAGAAAACTGTCCTCAGTTTTGCCCACATCGCTGGCAAGGATGCTCGGGTGCTGCACGCTAGCCAGGCTGGAAGCCAGTACTGCGCCTTCAGGTGGGTTCGGTCTGACTGCACTGTGTGAAATTTGCATTTTCCGATCCTTTCTTTTGTCTTGCAAAGAATATGACGGACTTGTATGTTTGACAGAGCATTGCCCAAGCGCCCTCAGGTGCAGGAACATCAGACCCAACATCTGGGAATGTGTCTTGCCAACCTGCTTTCAATGAACTTGTTAGGATTCTATTTCCACGAAGTTGCACAAAGATTGTGGCCAAACCAGTGCTGCCAACAGGAGAGTGAAACCAAACCCCTTTCCCTGGCTCCATTATTTACTCGTTTCCACCGATCAGCTTGGAAGTGCTTGGTAGGCATGGCAAAGGTGTTGACCAACTTGTACGATGCAAAGCACTGACAGATGCATCTCATGTGCTCTTGAATGAAAGCTTGCATCGTGACAGCAAACACCATTCGATGGTGCTTCGATAAGCTGGTCGGTCAGGTTCCTTAACATAGCGCTCCGGCAAGAAGTGTCGTGATGTTTGTACAACTCAGGTCCACAACTCTGACATGCATTTCAGAACAGTGTTCGTCTCTGAGTGTGGCACCCCAACAGAAGAAAGAGTGCCTCCCCCCCCCCCTTCCCCCCCTTGCACAGTGCTTGAATCTGCCGAAACGCATACGTGTGGCATCTTGGCTGCAAGTACACAGTTGTGGCAATTTAGCCACCAGTACAACAAGACACTTGCATGATAGCTTCAAGCAAGCTAATGCCCAGTGCTGGTGCCGTGCTTGCAGCCCTTCGTCCAAGTACCTGGCTGCCACGAGCGACCTGACCTTCTCAGCCATCGTGTGGGACCTCTCGTCTGGGGACCTGCTTTTCCATGTTGGCACAAACCGCCCTTCGTTGGCCATCAGCTTCGCAGCATCCCACGAGGAGTTGCTGCTCTTTGCTGAGAGCCACAGGAGGCTGCACGTCGTGGACATCAGGTGTGTGGAGGGGCAGGCAGGAAGCTGCTCCCAGGGCAGCTGTGTGCACATGTTGTGCTGATGCACATTGCTACATCACACAAAATAGTATTTATCTGTTTGGTGTATGTTTCCCAACTTTGTATTTCTTGTTTGTTTAACTCTGTAACTTTGGTTTGTAACAATTAATCATTACATTCCGTGTGTGCATATAGGGTTGTCCAGGCACAGATTAACCCACAGCAGGTTTGGCTGTGAACAGACATACTCATGCCAAGAGGCTGCACATCATGCATGCAAATTGTGACTTGTTGTCTTCACTACTTGAGCGTTCATGTACTTGTTACAAAATGTATTGAAGCCTTCTTGCATCCACTTGTGGCCCTTACGGGGCTTGAAATGCATTCCCTTTGCCAGCAGCTCAATGTTTTGCAGTTGATCACTGTGGAGATGAACTGAATGCTCTGAATGTAAAGAATTCAGAACAATTACTTCGAAGTATATGTATTGTACGAAGTATAAGTATAAGTATATGTATAATACGTTGTGTGTTTTACATTGTATATTGTTCATTATATATTGTGTACTGTGTGTTCAACACACGATATATAATATACAACACACTTTGTTGTATATTTGATGGACAACTGTATAATGATTGTGTTCATAGTGTTCTTCTTAATTGTTTTAGGACTGCCTTGTGACATGTCGCAGTCCAAGATAGGTGAGTCCCTAATATCTCAGCTCCCCAAGGTGAACCTTTACTGATTGAGGGGTGGCACAGAACAGTTCTCTGAATCCAGAGCCAATGCTACCCTGAGCACTCCATTCAACAGCAACTTGTGACTATGGCTCTGCTTAGATGGCCCACGGCCCCCAAAATCGACAGTGGTATGTTCCCAGTGCTTCATCGGGGTGCCTTGACGTCCACTATTGACAGGTTGATATCAACCATTGGCAGCAGTTTGTGATTACGGCAATTGGTCACGTGCCTGGAATACACCTAAGTCAGTGGTGTTGATGGCTGCTTTTGGCTTCAGGTATCCTGATGTCCCCCCAACATGGGTTTGTGCTTGTGGTAGGTATCCTGAGGAACCCCATCAGGTCGTGACAGTGGCCCCTGCGGCTCCAGGTGTTTCAGCGGACCAGGATGTGCAGGAGTCAGCCAAGGACAGCCCTAGAATCACAGGCCTCTCTGTAAGGGAGGATGACTGTGTGTTCTTCTCCACTGTGGTGAGCCACGATTTCACACGCTGATTTCACCGATGTACCTGGAAATCTTCTTTCAGCATTTGCCAGAACAGGCAAGGAAAGGGCCAGCTGCCAGTCTGCTGGGAAGCAAACACAGCAAGAGTATTTCTTGGCAGCAGTTCCTGCACATATTTCTGTACTTGAGACAAAACAATGAGCTGCTTGTGAGTTCACCTGCAAAGCGCTACATTGAAGGAGAGGGGCCCACCGTGACGATTTTGTCACACTTGATGTCAGTTGCCACTTTTACTCACTCCCCCCCCCCTCCCTGCTGTCAATATTTACACAATGCCATGTCGTGTTTCATGCTTGGTTGGGGAACAGATTGGAACCCTCGCCTCAAACTGCCGCCAATGGGTCTCCCGAGCATATGTTGCAGCCATCCACTGGGCTGTGAGATTCTTGCATACAAGTTTCCTCATTTCTATCTGTGGTGCCAGTTGGAAGCGGAATGGTGAAGGGAGTTTTCCGGATAAGCCATGCGTGGCTTGGTGCTTTTCCTTAGCTCATGTCGATTTCGAGTAAGCTCTATGCCAGGAGTCTGGACCCCTCCCTCTTGGCTGCAAATTGACTTCCGACCTGACAAATTCGCCTCACCTAGCCTTTGGCTTGAGTACATTGGCCCAAATTACATTGACTTGTATTGACCTGCGTTTGCCTCTCTTGTTTGGGCATTTGTGGTTGCGATGTTTCTCAAGAACACTGTCATCATGCTCTGTTGTCTGTGAGCAACTGTCTGCTCATCTTCTTTCCTTTCTCCTTTATTTTGGCTCGACTTCTTGGGTGTCTGAATACACTTCCTGGCCCCTGCCACAGGATTGCCTTTACAAGTACCATCTGCTGCCCCCTGCCTGGTCACGGTCCTCCCACCGTCACTTGCCCTCCAACTTCAAGGCTGTCGTGAAGCTCATGCTGTTGGCCGCCTCCAAGGATAAAGGCAGCCGCCTTTGGTCCATGCCTTGGGGCGCCCTAGAGAAAGTGATTGCCATGGCCGCAATGCCCATCATGGAGTGGACGGGTTGCGGGCCAAGCGATAGCAGGAAGAAGCCAGAGGGAGTGGGAGAGGGAGATGCCAGTGGGAGTGAGAAGTCGCCAAAGATCTCATAGTGACTTTAGCCTGTGATGTGAGCAGTGCCAGTGGGGTCATATCGCGCAGGCTTCACCCAGCTGGTGAGCAAATGCCACTCGAGTGTCACAAGGGCAGACACGGTGACAATCTCGCAATGGTGCAGGTAGAGGGCCTGTCGATCGGTCAAGATGCCATCCAGGGCGCAGCTGCAACGTGTTGGTGCTCGCCAGGAACTAGAACAGGGATCAAGACACAAATTTTAGTGGCTGGGCCAGCGTGTAGGAGCACTGTGGATGTAGTGCTGTGTCCTGCCTGTTGTGCTTCTTCAGTTCATTCCCTTTGGGCAGTGATGGGGTTTCCTGCCATGACAACTAGCCACTGATTGTGGTTTAACACAATCCAAATGTCGTGCATTCATCGCGACTGTTGGATCTGCGAGGCCAATGTCCCACCAAACCAACTTCCTCCTTTGGCAGACCCCCGTGTCTCCCCCTGACGATCACCATGGTAGCGAATAAAATAGGTCAGTGCCCCTGTCGGCCCCAAAGGCGAAGGGAACACAGTTGGCCATTCGCAGGTCATGCCATGAGCTTGGTGGTGCGGGTAGCGCGATGCTTTGGTGTGAACACTGCACAGCAGGATCGAGCAGTGATGGTGTCAGTTCGTGCAGCCAGCTCGCTCAGGCCACGATGAATGGGAACATAAGTGTGAATTTCTTCTGACTTGTCATTCTCCTTTTGTGAAATTCTGAAAATTGGGGGCAGAGGCGTCGATGTACGATTTTAAATCCCGACTGTTTCAAATCCCGACAACGGGGTGTGTGGCGGCATCCTCCACTGGCTTGAGATTAGTGCAAATGGATAAAAGCAAAAAACAAAACAATAAATAAATGATGCAATGAATATAAACTGTGAATAAAGCAAATGAAGCAAATTCCGGGCTCTTGCAGCGCAACGAAAAGGGAAGGTGTTTCTGGAAGCCGTGAACAGCAACGCAGACATCCAAGGTGCTGTACTGGCTTTGGGACACGAAGGCAACTTTGCTGCTTGGCAGTGTCACCTGCTGCTTCACCCACGTCACATGAAATGCACACGAGGCAATGTTGACGTCAGCAAAACATGGAAAACGCATTTCTGCGATCTGGATATCTGGATGATCAACCAGCGCTGGGCAGGATACAGTGAGGAAAAAGAACCATTATCAATAGTGTGATGTGACGTCTGCGCTGCCTCGTGATGCGTGTGCATTATAGGGCATCCTCAACAGGGACACTGGATGGCAGTGACTGGCCCATGATTAACAGACGGTCGTCCGGGTCCCAAGTGACATGCCTGTTGGCGATCTTTCTGTACCTCCGCTCACCCACATCTCACTCTGCGATCCCGTGGTTGTGCCCGCCTACAACGTTGTCCCACCCCGAACGCACCTCCGCAAGCAGGGGAACGCTATCAGGTAATGTCATGCTGATGAAGGGCGGCAGGGCCGAGGGGGTTGCCAATCCCGATGGGGGGCCCGCAGGCTGCGGAGCAGAGGGGCCCTTGGTGCTCAGTCCCCTGAACATAAGGCCACGCATCAACATTGTGAGGGCGAGAGAACGGTTAAAATATTACTTCCTCCGTCCGGAATTAATTGTCCTCTATTTGAGAGACAAAATTCGTTACAAAGGACACCTTAAATTTAACCAAAAATCTCAGAATCGGAAAGATTGGGCTGCAAAACCCTTAACTGCCAATTTTCAAAAAAAATAATTAGTCCCACCCCCCCTGGATGGCCCCCAAAATTGGCCGAAAATCGTCCAGAAAGTGTGTGTGCAGATTCCGCATTTGCGAGAGAACCGCACGTTTCTGGGTCACTCCCGTCCTTGGTGCGCTAAAGATAAGTCGTTGTTGTCTTTGCAGTGAAGGGCGGTGTCCCTTACGTGGAATAGCGTTTGCCAAACACGCGCAAACGCGTTCGGACCCCCATTGTGGAAGGCCATTTTCGCAGTTTTGACGATTTTTCAAATCTCGGCCATTGTCGATCTTTGGCGTGCGTACGTAAAGCAAGCGGACAAGGCTAGGGTACAGGGTATTCAAGCTTGGGCTATGTGCGAGCTATTGTTCCAAGGTTATGTAGTAGACTTGTTTGGACAATCTGCCTCGATTGAGGCTTGAATCGTTGTTTTTGTGAGCAGCCTGGCCCACACCCCACAAATTGCCACGATCTGCCAATTCTTGCATGCAATCCACAACATGTCACAGCCCAACAAGTGCATTTCCCTTTGAGAGACATAGTTTTATCTATCTAGCTAGCCTTCTCAAGCTCAAGCCCTTGAAGTGCCAAAAAATGGTCGATTCACTATTCCTATCCAGGAGGGTCACTGCCTTATTGCCCCCTAACTGCCCCCTAATTGTCCGCCGCTGAATGGGGTGATGGCCACCGCCTTCCTAAAGGTCTGCGAGGAATTTGGGGGGCCTCTTGCAGTATCCCTCATAGTGGAGTTGTAGGTCCAAAAGTCGTGGTTCAGAAATTTGGACCTGATGGGCATCTCTGATTTAGCCAATCGAACATGAATTGCAGCCGCAAGATACGGCAACTTCCACGATCAGGACTTTCAAGACACATTTTCTGTTGCCCTTTTCCTTTACCAGCACCTCCATGATCTTCTGTCCAAATGGCGTGGATAGTTTTGCCCGGGCGGCTCTGTACCGCTGCCGCAAAGGCGTGCTCCTCAAAACAGCGAAAATGGCCATTCCAGCAGGGGTGTTGAAAAATTGGTGGGTTTCTGGCTAGATGACCCTTGCTGCAAAGTGCTGCCAAGTCTGCAATACTCAACTAGAGGTGGCCACACTCGGGTGCCGTCCACTCCGTTGCATCCGGTTCGTAAAAGTGAGTGTGATATTCGTCCGGTAATATCCGGTCCGCTGTTTGCCATACTGCCGTCCGCAAAATCCGGTTCTCACTTTTTCTTCACCGTTATTTGCCGTTAAATTAACGGATGACGTGTGCGGCGTCCGGTCCGTAACAAAATATCCGTTGATTAATAGTTTTGGTCCGTTATTACCCATAGGTACTTGCTTTCCAGCCACGGCAAGGTCAAGGCGAAGTTGCTAAAGGGTTTCCATTTTGCAGCTACTCGAATTATGTTGGTTGCATGCTTGATAAATGTGTGTGGGCGTTTTCCAGGTCATGTATTCTGCGGTTTGTAATACATGGAGTGATTTGGAGAACCGAACAACACACAAGCCGTGTGTAAAGTTCCAGTGTATGGCATATACTGGAACTTGCATGCATACACTGCATGCATGCAATCCTGCACCACTTGCTACGGCTGGTACTGCTGCGTACCACACTCCCATGGCAAGTCTTCCCGGCCATTGCAGCAAGGGTTCGGCATAGTTGTAATACCAAATGCGGACACACAAACACCCACATCACCTAAGGCAGGTGGCAAAAGGGTTCACCTCTGAACACAGTTGAGCCACTCAACATATTTGGGAACGGGTGATACGTATCATATATAACGATGGGTTGCTGCGGCGGTACTCCACAGTTTCCACGCCAGGGCAGCGAGTGTAAAGCCCATCCACCAATTGCACTATTTGAATGGACACATTCCTCACAGAAATTCTTTTCTATCTATATGATACCCTAGGTTCATCCACCATTCCAACATAGTACGTCGAAGTTCAACAGTTCAACATACATGAAAACGGGCAATGAATAGTACGAGTCGTGATTTGTTATCTACCATCTCTGCCTATCGCACCCTTGCTGCGGCGGTACTCCAGAAGTTTCCACGCCAGGGCAGCGACTGTAAAGTCTATCCACCAATCGCAGTACTTGTTGGGACGCATTTCTTGAATAAAATTTTTTTCTATCTATATGATACCCAAGGTTCATCCACCACTCAACATAGTGTGTTCAAGGTGTGCACATCAACACAGGACAACGGAATATTACAAGTCATGATATCTTATCTTCTATCTCTATGGTAACCGCACCCTTGCTGCGGCGGTACTCCACAGTTTCCACGCCGGAGCAACGAGGGTGGTCACCGGT